CGAGGGATGCAATCTATGTCCCGTTTTTCCACGTTGACATCCCTACCATGTTATGTTTTGCATTTATTAGACCTAGGGTTTGAGATCTTGATCTCTCAGAGAATATTAAGGGATAAAGTTGGGAAGTTTATCCATGGGGAATCAACGTCTGTTTTGTCTTATGTGGGCCACGATGTGATTAAGGATGGCCATGATGTGGCAGTTGATTGAACTCAATTTTGACCTTTTACTTTTTTACTTGAGTTGACTTTTGCTCAAACTCCTAGTTTTGGAAGGTAAGCTAAGGGCTTACATTGTATGATTATTAAGGTAGTGTATAGCATCCATATTTTCAGAAGTGAGAACAGTAGCAGTTGATTATCGTCTGAGAGGTGAGTCTTTTCACTATACTTGTGGATCGAAGGCATCAATGTCTGCCCATTGGATTGTGTTATGTAGAGTGTTAGCTGTCTTTGTGACTCTTGCATATATGTTCAAGTTGAGATACGCCCTAGTTTGGGCCCATTATTGTATGTTTGGGTTGAAATATACCTCAGGCCAAGGCCCATTATATGTTGGGTTGGAATTTACCACTGAGAGGATTCTGTCACTGATTATAATTAGGAAAGACTAGGAAAAATAGATATAATAGCTTAATATTGTAATATTTGATTTTGAGAAAATAAAAAAATCAAATGTGTCGTTACATTTATTTGCTTAAAACGACTATTAGGGTCGAAAATTTAGCATCCAAAAAATTGTAGCGTTTTATAATATGGTTAACATACTTAGAAAGTAATCATTAACATGATAACAATGATATAAGATTCGTAAATATCCAACTCCAAAGGAAAGAGTTATGTATTTTATAAAAATAGAAATCAACCTCATAATTAAAATTAGTTAAGTCAAAATGGTACTTAGAGATTGGTTGAGTTTTGACTAAAATTGCAAATAGTAGATTCGTAGTACTCATTTGATAAAAACTTTAGGACAAAGAGTGTCGAAAATGGGATCCGTATGATAGAGTTATGGTTTTTGTAAAATCATTTAATTTTACCCCCATTAGGCACAAAATTGAAAGTCAAAACTAGCTAAAGCAACCTAAATGAGAGTTGTGGTACCCATTGAGATCATCACATAGATATAAAGAGGGCTTATATCGGAGCTCGCATGAAGAAGTTATGATTTTTACAAAATCTTTTCGTGCGCGCTTATGTCCATCGCGCACCTGACTCCGGATTCGAGTAGATTGGGAGTGATGTGGCTTATTGGGGAAGTGACATGTGGCCTTCTCTAGATGGAGCGGTCCGCGAAGTCCCGAGCCCAATTCAACCCTACACCAACGGTCTCACGCAACTAGGGTGAGTTCACATCCCCAGTTTTACTATTTTATAACTAAGGGGATACATGTTTATCAAACTGCTTTATCAAAATATATTTATATCTATAAATATCAATCATTTTATAAAGGTTGAAACCTTAGGATACTGTAGCAATAGATATTATACGTAGGTATAAGTTATGATCTTATGCCTAAGAGTTATGATTCCCGATAGTCTAGGAAGAGATATTACACAGATGTTATAATGGCCAATTCCTTAGGATAACATAGTACCTAGAAGTAATACTCCTCAAATATAGCGATATACACTATATATATATATATATATATATATATATATATATATATATATATATATATATATATATATATAGGTTATAAAGTCCCAAAAATTACTAAGTAAAAATTTCATTTTTAAACCAACATAAACATCAGTCATTCATTTCAAAAACCCGTCAAAACATGATAATGTATAAAATAGTCATTAGAGTACAAATCAAGTCATAAAATATGGAATGATGGTTGATGCAGTGCGATTATGTCTGGCCCTTCCCTTTCGAACTGGTAGTACTTGAAATGATAAACATAAACTGTAAGCACAAAGCTCAGTTAGTTTCCCCTAAAATACCCCATACCATACATACATAATAGTTCAAACTAAAATGAGTCTATTTCACCCCCTTCGGTCTCTTTCAACCGATACTAGGTCTATTTCACCCCTTTTGATCTCTTTCAATCGGTACTAGGTCTATTTCACCCCTAAAGCTAAGCATACAATCATATCAGCAAGAGTCACAGAGACAACAAGCACATATATACATAACAGTAAATATCACAAAGACAACTATCATGCTACAAACATAATCCGGTAGGCCGGAAGTGGTGCATTCGACCCACGAGTACAGTGAAGAAACTCACATAACAAATGATGATCAACTACTACCGCTCCTACTACTGTGAATACAGATGCTAAAACCCACCTATTCAGCCATGCAAAGTATAATATTAGCTTCCCTTCCAAAACTAAGGGTTTGACCAAAAGTCAGCTCAAGTCAAAAGTCAAATTCAATAGTCAAAGTTGACTCGCCACGCCGTGCCCCCCAAATGAAAAAACAGACACATTTTCCCCAGTCGTGATGTGTAAAATTATGTTTCGAATTGATTCCTACTCTGAGGTTGTGTTCTGAAAACCGATCATCATAAGGATTATGTCTTTTGGAAAAAAGTAAGATCCAGGCCCATTTGGGTGCGGGTGATGTATTAAAAGTGATATGGGTGTTCAGTTCATATTTTGGAGGGTATGGGTATTTCAATAAAGTGCCAGTTCGGTCTTTTTTGGAAAAATGGATTCTTGCTCAGAAGGTCTTAAGAAATATTTGAGTTTTTAGATGTGTAGGGATTCTCGTTACCTTTCAGTTGATATAAGGATCATCGGGATCGGGCTTATAATGAAGAAGTTATAGTCTTCGAAAGTTTCGAGGGTTTCAGGCTTAGCCGAGTACGTGGGGTGTACTAATGAAAAAGGAAGTATTCCGGGTGTACCTTGTAGTGCGTTGGGCGTATTGACCAGGATGGTCGCGAATATTCTTCAGAGTACGCTGGGCATACCAAAATTACGTTAGGCGTACGCCAGTTAGATCAGAACCCTATTTTAGGGTCTTGGACCCAATTTAAGCTCATTATCTCCTAACCTAACCCTAATAGCTTCAGCCTCCACCCTCTAAAACTGTGTGGGGTAGCCAATGGCACAATGGTATAAGGCCTTGGGGGCGCCCACGACATCCTTATAGGTTTATGTACGTGTTATGTATAGATACTTTTGTGATACATGATATGTTAATTGATTATATATGATATTGGCAGGGAAGACCCTGGGGGGAGTCTATGGCATTGGATGAAAGACCATGTTGGGTAGCCCATAGCATTCCTAGGTAAATACCATGTGGGGTAGCCCATGACATTGGATGTAAGACCATGTGGGGCAGTCCAATGCATTGCTAGGTAAAGACCATGTGGGGTAGCCCATGGCATTGGATGTAAGACATGTGGGGTAGCCCATATCATTCCTAGGTAAAGACCATGTGGGGTATCCCATGGCATCCTTACAAGTTTATGTATGCATGGCTTATATGGTTTATGTAGCTTTTATAGCTAATATGGATTACGTGATTATGTGGATTGTGTGTGGGGTATGCTTTGGGGAACTCACTAAGCTTCGTGCTTACAGTTTTGTTTATTTTTTCAGGTATCATTAGTTTGGAAAGAAAGGGGCTCAGCTTAATCGCAATGCTAGTGAAAAAGGAAGTACGTTGGGCGTACCTTGGAGTACACTGGGCGTACTGACCAAGATGGTCGCGAATGTTCTTCGGAACATGTTGGGCGTACCAGAATTACGTTGGGCGTATGCCAGTCAGATCAGAACCCTATTTTATGGTATTGGACCCAGATTAAGCTCCTTATCTCATAACCTAACCCTAATATCTTCACCCTCCACCCTCTAAAACCATAGAAATCTTCATATATCATTCATGGTGACATTTTGAGCTTATGGAGTTCATTTTTGGGATGTTTGGCCCATTTTCAAGAAGATGGAACTTGTTGTAATGGGAATCAAGGAGGAGCTTATGGACATGGATTTTAGGACTCATTCTCAGCTTGATGACGGTATAAAGCTTTGAACTTGCTCATTCATCTCTTAGATCTACCATTTTTGAGTTTTGGTTACTTTTTGGTCCCCAAGGAAGAAGCTTTATGGTTCAAATCTGATTCTTAGACTTAGGGTTGCCACTTTCAGTGTTAAATGAGTCCCTAAGGTAGAAAGTTGCTATCTTGGAGGTATTAATGGGTTCATGTATGAGTTAAGACCATTTTCATGGAAGTAGATTATCATTTTTGGAGTTTGAGCTTATATGGGAAATGCAAAGTCACCAAGTCCATGACTTAATGGATTTAGACGTTAGGAGGAATTGGAATCTATGTTTTAGACTTATGGCTTAAGGTATTAAGTGATTAATAGCCATTTATGCATGACTAACTTGTACGCTGCACGTAGTAGCAGATACGCAGCGCATACTAACCAAACCCTAATACGCTAAGCATACTGAAGGGGTATGTTGAGCATACGTACTCAGAAGGATTGGTGTCTCACATGTGTGCTTGTTATTTCTGTGGGATGACATTTTCTGCTGCATGGTGATAAGCAAGATCGTAAGTAATGACGGTCATTTCTGGTTATACTCTATAAATTTCTCGTTTTGTTGTATGATTCACAATGTTTCAACCTACATCCTTATGATGTATTTATGGTGGTAAGTAATAGTAGATTTTGCATGAATATTAAGTCTATCCATAGAGTACATAGATTATTTTGGTTTCAAGATCCTTGAGTATCTAGCGGTTTCGGAGGTTCGGTTGTGCATATAAGTGGATTCATGCGATAACATGGAATAAGGAAAAAAAACACATACTTGTTTCATTATTAAATACCATCTTAGTACTCGAAAGAGAATCATAAAGAATAATAGTGGGGGTGATCCTAATCGTGCGTGGATGCATCTGGTGGTGGTGCTCAGATACCAAAATATTGCACCACCAGGTCAGTTAATTCACTCATCTCTCAAGTGATCTATTTGTTCATCTGCTCTGCTCGCACTGCTTAGGCTCCTGCTGTTAAAAGTTAATGTTTAAGGGTTGCAACCTCCTCCTCCAAGGAACGCATCCGGTCAGTTGGATCCTCTGGTGTTGCGAGATGGTCATGTATCATCTCTGGAGAGTAAGGCTCGCTAGGGACTTCCTCAATGTCCCCTACTTCTTCCATCTCCTCATCAGATTTCTTGTACTCATAGTCTGTCTCCACATACTCCTCAGGTCCTAACCTTGCTGGGACTGATAGTAAAGGAGACCCTGTTGGAATTCTTCCATGATGACTGCACGAGAAATGGAGGGGTGAGATCTGTGTAAGGGGAGTATATGTAGATAGCATTTCAAATACTCCTATAATATTTTATTTGTTCATGTTTGAGTTCCTTAAAGCTTTTTGGATACAAGGTAAGTTTATAAATTCATTGCCCACCATGATCACTCCCAAACACATGTTGATCGTATTTTGAATAAATAGAATTGATCAGGCTCTATATCTCCCTAATACGACTACATAACTGTCCGGGTTTAACCACGATGTTGAATCTGCTCTAGAGACTTTTAGTGTTATTGTATTAGTGCACACCTAGGTATGTATTTTAATTATTTTGTTCAGAGTAATTTAGTGTCAATGCATTTATAGTTACATATCTTGTATGATTAGACATGTCAGTTCACTATAAACATTGCTATGATACCAATCTGCCACACCCCCGAACCAGACGACAGAAAGTCGGAAACGTACGAGGGCTTGAATGACTTCATTCTTGTAGTATCATCACAGTGTATATAATTGAAACAAAACATCATCATCATCATCACACATGCAATATTACAACAGACATTGTTTACATCAAGTATTTTATTTCAATATTACATACCAAAATATCCAAAGTAAGATGAAAACAAAACATAACAAACTATCGAAGTATTCTTGATGACCAACCTGCTCAACGATTTCCTAAGAATACAAGTTAATTTAAAACGGTCAACATATATAATCTTGGTGAGTTCATAAGCATGTTTGAGTAAAATGTTTTGTATTACTTTGTAACTGCCAGAAAATCCGATATTTTTCGAAAAACGGTTTGAAATGTTTGTGTCCGATCTTGTGTAAATGCATGTGTGTTAATGTTTGTGAGAATATAAGGAGAATGACCCCAGACAACCCGATGTTGTCTGTTTATGAAAACGTTGTGATCTCAACACCTAAGGTTGAGTACCAGTGTGTGTATGTTACCGTGTTATCCACAAAAAGATTGTTTCCTGTAAATTTTGTAATGGTGTTAATTCCTCTAAGTGAGTCGTTATAACCATACTTGATAATGACAATTTCTCCTGTCATGACATCTTTCAAACGCCGACTTGTTTAATGTAAGGTTCGTCACCCTAGACTGGTCTACTCTAATTGTAGCTATAACATCCCAAATTCAGGTGTGTCTCTTAAACCCTTCTCCTTTTCCCAAGTTGTCAAACTAAACCCTTAAATGAATTGTTATGCTTGTGAGTACGCTGGACGTACTAAAGGGTACACTGCTCGTGCTCGCACGCTTAATTTTGGACGCGGGCTCGCCTGGGTACACTGGGCGTAGCGGGACCAGGTGTAAACCCTAATTTGGGGCATGTGCACTATAAAAGGTATGTTATGGCCTTGACCTCAGCCCCATTTCAGAGAGTGAAACCCTAATAGAGATTCCTCCTTCGTTTCTAGCTAGTGTGTTGGTGTTCTAAGCTTCAAAGTGTCCTTTCTAGGTGTTGGAAGAGAAGAAGAGACCATTTTGGAGGCTAGGAGTTGTGTGCAAGAGTGGATCTGAGCTTTTCAGAGGTTGGAGCTTCTTCCTTACGTAAAAAGCTCAAAACTTGACTTGTCATTTGTGTGGTGTGCTTCTTAGACCAATTTCTAGGGTTTTTAGTCCCAAGATGGAGACTTTATGAGCAAATGGTCTCTATTGGCATAGATCTATCATATTTCAGGACTATAAGAGTTGTATCCTCATAAAAATGCAATCTTGGACGTGGATATTGAGCCATGCATGAGATCTAGACCTTTGGAGGAGGAAGTAAAAGTGTTAGAGGGTGTAAGGACCTTTACAGCCATGCAAAGGCTTAAAGGTTCCGAGTTTATGGGATAAGAGGTCTAGAAAGAGTCAGATCTGGAATTTGAATGAGTGTCTTAATCGTTTAAGACCAAAAACCAAGGAAAAGTTGAACTGAGACTTACGTTGGGTGTAACTCTCAGTACGCGTAGCGTAAGGGATTGAGACCCCATTTGAGACTCGCTGGCGTACGCCCCGCGTACAGAGAAGGTACGTGTCGCGTACTGCCTTCTGTTGACTTCCGTGGACTTTTAGGGTCAGGGAGGGGTAAAATGGTCTTTAACCCTTCTGTGGAATTGTAGAGTGGATTTAATCTAGCCTTTGAGAGCCATTATTTATTTGAGAGTTTTGTTTTGTGTTTAGGCAGGGGCTAGATCCGTGTATTCGAGTGCGAGATTATCCGAGATACCCGAGGTGAGTTTTCTCACTATACTTTACCCAGAGTGGTAATTAGAGTTATGTGACAGAGTATTTTGTATGTTATTTATATGATGTGATACACTGCATTATTCCTATGTGATTTATGTTATATATATGTTTAAGAGTTTACAGAGTTAGAACCGGAAGGTTCACAGAGTTAGGACTAGAGGGTCCACAGAGTTAGGACCATAGGGTCCACAGAGTTATAGCTTCGAGTGGCTAATATGTGTTATATGTGGTATTTTGGGGAACTCACTAAGAATTTATGCTTACAGTGTTGTGTTATGTGTTTCAGGTGCCAGTGAGGATCGCGGGAAGGCGACAGTATGATCAGTACACACACGAGGAGTTTTTATGCATTATGATATTGGGATTGTGTTTCTATGGTTGTTATATGATACAATGACATTTTTATAATATTTATGAATGAAAGAATGTTTTTGGAAAATGTAAAAATTGCTTTGAAAATTTGGGTGTTACAAGTTGGTATTAGAGCCTTGGTTTGAGAGATTCGGGTGCACCTTCGGGCGTATCTGAACTCAAACTGAGGATTTGAGAGATTTACAAAATAAAATTCACAAAATTTTCTCAAGAGTAAAAGGTTTTTGAAAGAGCAGAGCAGAGCAGTGTGTACGATCAGCCAGCGCCCGAACGGTGATTTCTCAAAATACCCTTTACATTATGAGTTATGAGAAATGTTATGATATGATATGCATGCTAGAATAGGCTAGGTATTCTTATTAGGACTAGAGTGGCCTGATTTGTGATGCCTTAGCCTAGGGGTTTTGCTAGTAGATGCTTGAGAGCGAATAGATAGCATCAAGGAGCTATGAGAGATCTGATAGAGAGTAGACGATGCATAGTGAGAGTAGAGTACTTAGGACTTGGGATCCTAGGATGAGGACTTGGGATGAATACTGATGCGGTGTGGACGGTAGAATTGGGCCCGTACTACTAAAGACACCGGAGCAGTGCGTAGCCCAAGTAAGAATCATTGGGGGTACCAGGGAACGAATAGGGTCAAGTCATCGAGTGCGTGTATGTTCGAGCGAGTCTCTGATATGTTTTATGTTGTATTTCAGAGACATCATGGTTAGGACACGCCACAGACCGGGGACCAGCGGGGTGAGCGATGAGGAGCTCCGCCTGATGATTCATGAGGAGGTGGTTGCGGCCATCCGTGCAGAGATTCCAGAGATGTTTGGGTCTATCAAGACCACTCTGATGGAGACTTTCGATGAGAGGTATGCGGCGGTTCCTGAGGCTGCAGCCGCTGTAGCTACGGCAGCTGTTGCTGCTGCCAGACCTACGGGTGGCGATTCGTTGCTGTTCTGGGAGTTCAGCAACACGAAGGCACCAAAGTTTGATGGGACGCAGGATCCGATTGTTGCGATGAGATGGGTTTCTGATATTGATGGATTCTTCTATACGTGTTCATGTCCAGAGCATCTGAGGGTCCGGTTCGCGCTGAACCAGCTTTGCTTGGGAGCGAAGGACTGGTGGAAGTTTGTGACAGCGCACTTTTCGTCTGCTGAGCTTGCCGCGGTGACCTGGGAGAGGTTCACCGCTATGTTTCATGATGAGTACGTTCCCCCGGTGGAGAGGGAGCATTTGGCCCAGCACGTGTCTACCGAGTCTGTTATTGTGATCACCAGGGTATTGAGTCTGTTATTGTGATCACCAGGATGTTCCATGGGAGGGCGATGTTTTGCCCTGTACGTTCCCCCGGTGGAGAGGGAGCGTTTGACCCTCAAGCAGGGTACTGAGTCTGTTATTGTGATCACCAGGATGTTCCATGGGAGGGCGATGTTCTGCCCTGAGCACGTGTCTACCGAGCAGGCACGTATGAGTCGGTATTTGAGTATTCTGAGGAGGGACATACGAGAGTTTGTGGCGAACTTGTCATACCGCACATCTGCCGAGCTTCAGGAAAATGATCGGAAGAGGGAAATAGAGCTGGAGACTCAGGTTAGGGAGGAGGCGGAGTCTCAAGGGAGGGATCGGGGACCGACTCAATCCCAGTCAGCAGCCAAACGGGTCAAGCCTGCCGATTCGAGATCATGGAACCAGAAGGGCTGTACTTGTGGCAATTGCGGCAAGGGTCATGAGGGAGTGTGTAGAGCAGGGTCTTGCTATAAGTGTGGCAAGGAGGGGCATATGGCTAAGGATTGCTCCAAGGGATTTGCAGTCTGTTTTCACTGCAACCCGACCAGACACTGGAAGGCTGAGTGTCTGCAGCTGCAGGGATCTGCCCTTGCTGCTGTTCGAGCTACAAAGAGTCGGCCGGTGAAGGCCGAGGCACCGAAGACACGAGGGAGAGCTTTTCAGTTGACCGTGTAGGAGGTCCGCGAGGCGCCCGATGTTGTGGCTGGTATGTATTCTTTCACGTATTTAATATGATGTTTATTATATGGTGTTTATATTATATTATGCGTAGGTACTTTCCTTGTGTGTTATGTGCCTACTTTGGTGTTATTTAACTCGGGTGCGAGTCGGTCTTTTGTATCGTTAGCATTTAGTCAACACATGAGTATCTGTCGAGAGGTGTTGAGTCAACCTTTGCGAGTTTCCATAGCTAACGAGAGAGCAGTGTATGCCACGAATGTGATTCGAGGATGTGTACTCGAGATCTTCGGCGTTGAGTTTCTGATTGATTTGGTCCCGATTGCTATGGGAGATGTCTGTGTCATTGTGGGTATGGACTGGTTGAGGAGATTTGGAGCGGTTATCGACTGCGAGCGACAGCTGGTGACCATACGAGACCATAGTGGGGGAGTTCTTACGGTTTATGGCGATGGTACCCATCCTGGGTCAGCATTTTGTTCAG